AATAGCACGAAAGATACTGAAACTTTATGTGATGATACAAATATTCGGTTGATTGCTCTCTTCGATAATGAAGAAATTGGAAGTAGAAGTGCACATGGAGCTGATTCTAACCTTTTAGAGACTACTATCAAGCGTTTAACTCTATCAAATATTGGCAATTCATCTGGTAAAATCTCTGAGGCAAGTAAAATATTTTTAGAGAATTTAATATGATTATTTATTACAGTATTTAATACTTTATTCGGTATTATTAGACAGCATTTGAAGAAACAATCCATAAAAGTTTCTTGATCAGTGCTGATATGGCTCATGGTATGGTATTCAAACCTAATTGTTTTTTGATAATTAATTAATTATACGGTATATGATCATATTATTCACTTTGTTAATTTCTTTTAGCTGTGCATCCTAATTATTGGTATGCCAACTTGTATTTTTTTGTATTTATGCATTTTTATGGTATGAATGACATAAAATAATATAAAATAATTGGTTTTTTTTCGTTCATGCATACATTGATATTAATAGTGAGAAATACGAGGAAAATCATAGACCCCAGATGCATAAAGGTGTTGTTATCAAAATTAATGCCAATCAGGTTGTTATCTATAATTTATTATGTCTTTTATAGTTTATAACTTTCAAATTGAAAAATAAACAAAAATATTATCATTTTAAACAGCGATATGCTACTACAGCCGCAACTTCACTTATATTACGCGAAGCTGCTAAAAAATATAATGTACCATTACAAGAATTTTGTGTTCGAGCCGATAGTCCTTGTGGGTCTACTATTGGTCCAATGTTAAGTGCAAATTTAGGATTGCGCACTGTCGGTAAGTTATAACTAACTTGGTTTGATCTATCTTAAAAAGTCAAATCATTAATATATATTAATATAATGAATTATATTTATTAGATATCGGAAATCCTCAATTGAGTATGCATTCAATTCGTGAAACTGCAGGTACTGATGATGTTGGACATGCAATTAAATTGTTTCAGGTACGTTAATTATATGAAACAACTTTATTTTCTATATTATATTATATTGACAAATATTTAATATAGGGATTCTTTGAAGAGTTTTCAAAAATTGATTCATGTATAGTAATTGATTAGCAGTCACATACTAGCGTTTAAGATTGTTCTATTTGATGATTTGAAATTAAACTGTTTGACATTTAATATATTCTTTATATATTTTTGTACAATCAAAGTATCATAACATTTTATTATGACTAATGATTAAGATCGGCCCGCATTAAGAGACCTGTAACATTATGAATGTTAGAAAGAGGATTTAGGCAAAATTATGAAAGAAAATTTTCTTTTAATTTTGTCGATCAACCTATTATACATTTCGGTCGTGCAAAATTGTTTCGGCTGAATCTTTATATGAATTTACACGAATTCGGCTCGATTTTCATATTGCAACGCTTGGCGTTGGTCCCTAATTGCATTATGATAAATTAAAAGATATGTCAACCATTGATAATATATGGCATATTTAATTAAACTTGGTTCCACAATGATCGATGAATTTACCAAGGCGCTAATATTCAAATATACTATATTCATTGTGAATGTTCGAATATATATATTTATCACGAGCGAGAGGTCAGTCCCTGATAATTGATCATGTGAATACATGACTTTAGTGTGACCCTTAATTTGGTATAGACTAAGCCTCCTTGTACGTTGTACGTAGCTACCGTTACCGTTTACTTAGTATGATTGAAAATGCAGTATTGATAAAGCAGGGACCCGAAGCAGTAAAAATCCAATTAATTTATTTTGTTGTAATTTGGTCAATCGATACTTTTTTTTTTTATAAAATTATACATAAATAAAAAGCGTGTGTACACGGCGCCTTTCTTAACGCGAACTGCAATTATCAAAGAGCGATTTCCAAAAACATATCGTCATCCAATTCTTGATAGTAAACTTACTACACGACGAGTTACTCAAGTAATCCTCAATTACATTGATTTTTTTTTTTCAAATAATATTTTATTAATTTATTTTTATAAAGGAAGCCAGATGTCTTTTCAAATGTTATCGATCTGGTGTCGATACTCCTGTACTATATTTTGTCGATATAGAGAATAATGCAATATACATGGAATTTGTCAAAGGAAAAACCCTCAAAGATTTAATTTCTGAAATTGGAGAGTGGTCTAGCAGCAAGCATGAAGGTTGTTTATAATATTAATTCTTTAGAAAAATTTCTTCTACTCATTTTTTTTTGTTTTATAGAACTTACAACAAAAATTGGTGTAGCATTAGCAAAAATGCATGCAGCTGATGTTATACATGGTGACTTGACAACATCAAATCTTTTGTTAAGAGAGTCAAATAATTCTTTGGTTTGATATTTTATATTTTTATAGAGAATTGCAATAAATCAATGTGTTAATATTTTATTTGAAATTTAGGTTGTTATTGATTTTGGATTAAGTTACATATCATCATTACCAGAAGATAAAGCTGTTGATTTGTATGTTCTTGAAAAAACCTTTTTGAGTACACATCCAAATTTAGAAGCTATGGTAATGCTTTAAGAATTTATTATAACTAGATAGAACTATTTTTGATTTGATTATTTTTATTATATAGTTTACAGCAATATTAGAAATATATAAAAATAACTATAAAGCTTCAAAAGATATTCTAAATAAGCTGGCTGAAGGTATTTTTTTTAATTTTATTACCTAATGGTTTTTTTGTAATAAGGTTTAAATATTTATTAATTTTAATTATTTAGTTCGTTTAAGAGGACGTAAACGAAGTATGGTTGGATAATATATATTAATTTACAATTTAAGATATAGTTTTACCTAATTAATAAAGATGAGTATTGCTTTTAGTAAAAATATATAGTGTTTTTTTTCTTGTTAAAAAAAGTATATCATTATCTTATTCTTGATAATAAGCTTACTACATAATGAGTTATTCGAGTATGGGCAATCTTATTATTTCTAATAAAAATTAATTTTGTTTATACTGTATATAAAAATTTTTGAAATTTAACAATTTAATTTGAGCTATCTTTTGATAAAAAAGTTTTTTAAATTTTATTAAAATAAGCAAGTATATAAATTGCTATACTTATAATAAATATTTTAGCTTAATTTGATTTATATATAGTTGTTAAGATATTAATTTTTAAAATTTTATAACAAATTACTAATCAAATTAAGCTAAAATTTTAACTATATAGTGTATTTATTATAATAATATACAGTATAGTATATTTATTTAATTTTGAACTTATAAATTACATATTTTAGGTGTCACCTATACTATATTTAATCCAGCATTTTTTTATTAATTTATTTTTATAAAAAAGTATTAATAATACAATGTATACAGTATATAATTTGTTAAAAAAATTTCCGAAAATTTAATTGCTACTACTACTGTATATAAAAAAATTCGATTAAAGTGATGGCATATTGTTATTTTAAAATAAATAGCATCTTTTCATATGACAAGTCATTTTTGTCATAAAAAAAAACATTTATTTTTTCATTTATA